AAGTAAAATTAGAGAACGAAGCACGGGGAAGTGGCAGTATACCGGGGACAGTGAAAAATGTAATTTCTTTGGCAAGATGGCGTCTTGAAAATAAGAAATGAAACATTGCTCAAATACGCATGAATCGCTCCAAATACAACTTCTAGAGTGTAAATGGTGAGGGGAAACAACTAAAGCATGGTTAAAAACTCTAAAAAGTCAATCTTATATAATAGGTCTGATATAACGCAGTACACTTGGTGGTGGTCAACTAGGTCTGAAGCCACAACTGTCTGGGGTCTGAATGACATAGATGTTCCATTGAATCTACACCAAAGGCTTCTCTGATCACCACATTCACACACGGAAAATGTGGGTGAAGGTGGTGCAAAAAGACACACCATCAGTTTTCATTGGTGAGCAGATCAAGGCAAGAACACAACCAGTGACCCTCTAAAAAATCTTAAAGGTAACTTTTCCAGTGAACTTGTCTCCATGAAGATGATATAGCCTTGACTATATGGTGTTAAACTTTCTATCGCTACTGCAAATTAAATCTGAAGAATTTGACAAATGTAAAGTTATAACTCTCGCTCTCAGTGCTACAAACCAGTTAAACCAAAAAACTGTAAAAAAAATAAATAAAATGAAATTAAAATATATAAATATAAATATATGAAAAGCTGGTTTACAAATACAGGCCTACATTTAAGATCATTGCCAAAAGTACACAGCGACCCTTTGACATGTTAGTTCCCTGATGCTGTGACAGAATGACATTGGAAGACATGAGCAGAGGTGTGGAGATGTTGTGCTCTCCTCACACGATAACACCAAGGACGCCCCAGAACTGACAGCACAGGGAAAAGACTCCATACCAGCCCCGTGCGTGAATACCAATGTAGTCCTCTCCTCTGCCCTTCCTCTGACAGCCCTGTGGCTAAAGGTACACGTCATTTCATAGTACAACAAGTGTGTATCAGTACCAGAAATGCTGTATTCTAAGGCTGTAAAAAAGAGAAAAGAAAAACAATGAGCAAATACTTATCGATTCTAAAACTTGTATCAAAACTAAATAGTCAGACACGTATATTGAAAAAGATCACATAAATAGGCTGAAGTTGGACCTTTGCTGAATAGGCTTAGAATTAGGTCGATCTATAATCAGAAAAAGTAAAAGTAAATTGTGTATTATTTCGTGTTGAAAACATATTACCATTGTTATTAAAATAGGTATTAAGCCTTTTCCTTAGTATTAAAATTAAGCTTGGCATTTTAGTATTGTGCCAACACCAATCGACTATATACATATTAGGCTAATAATAACGCATCTGTTATCAAATTTTTAAATGAAGGTTTTAGCCTCAAAATGATCTTCTATCTTTGGGAATTCACAGATGGTGATAATGATTCAATTCAGACTCAAACATTATGTTAATGACTAATACTTGGACTGATTTGACTCGAACTAGCCTTAAATGATTTGGACTTAAAAATGTGACTCAACTACAACTCTGATCAGTATTTGAGAGTGTGATTTATGTCTGTGGTGGACAAACAAAAACAAACATTTCGCTTCTTGGTAAAAGTCATTTGAGTGCAGCGAGTTTATCATCTTCACCATAATGAGATTAATGCTCGGTTAAGTTACATCAGGCTTAAATTAACAGACAGACAATCATGGCTACTAAACATGCAAAAAGAGACTGTAAGGCATACTAGTTTAACAAACAAAGACTCACACAGAACTGAGCACTATGGCAAGAAAAGAAAATATCACACACTTTTGTTGGAGCCCGATCACGATTTCAGTTTCACCGTGATTCATAGAAACTTTAAAAATTTCAATTTGCCTTTTTCCGAAAGTTGTTGTGGACACTGCCATCATTATTTGGGTTGTATTATTTTGCATGGGGATGCCGATCTTGATAGCAAATAAGTTCAATGCGGACTATAAAGTCGTTTTATAAAGCCCCCCCAAAAAAAATCAGTGCAGTGTTTACTTGTTGTTTAAATGAAACTTTTATATTTTACACAAATGAACAAATTTTATGTCATATTTAAGATTCAAAACTTTTCCTAAATTTTCCACTGTTATGAATAGGTTTAGAGAAAAAAAAGTGGGCAGGGCAGTATAAGGTGAATTGGAGAGGTTAAAAAAGTCATCTGGGGTTCACTCGACACTGTGATTGGTTAAATACAGCTATCAATTGCTCTTTACAGGGACAAACCAATGATAAAAATGGGTGGAATGGAAAGTATTTGAGCAGACATCTGTACTATGTGAAAAAATAGTGAATCATCACTTTCACCAAGATAAAGTATTATTACAGGAATGTAGTGTGTGTCATCATCTTAAGAAATCATTGGTCGACTACAGAAATGTACTCCACACGCTTTGACAAAACCGTACAAAGATGAGTGGATCTGGAGCCGCAGCCTGTCTCCCTGATTTCAGAGGATGTGACTGACACGTGGATTAACCAATCAGAGAGATGCATGGTCTGTTCACGTCAAAATCACACATGGCAATTTAATGTAAAAAAGAGGAATATCAATATAAAGGACTGAGAAACAATGCAGATTTTTGCAGTATCAACAATCAAAGCACTAAACTATTACTGATCTGAGGTAAACAAAGTTATATATTTTGTTCTGAATGATACAAGAATTTTGGAGAGGAGATGTCTTCTGCATTTGAGAGACACGTGATACAAATTAGCAATTGTGGTTGGACCATCTCAAGATAAGACGGAGGATTTTCACCCTCTTTTGTCTGGTTCCAGCCCTTTCTGAATTTAAACAGATTGTAAAAAGGGACTAGTTGGTCAGGCAGAAAAGTACAAGGAAAAGTGTATTTATATGGAGAAGTCAGATTAAACACAGGATTAACTCTCAAATCTTTAAGTAATCCACTCTCTACCTACTCCTTTCTGCTGTCATGCGTATAATTCCTAATTATTTAAACAAAATAATTTGTTGACTAATACAAATTTTGGTCGACACCATCAATCGATTAATCGACAAAGGTATGAGATTGTTATTCGAATTTTAAATACTCTACTCACACATTCGACTGTATTGTGTGATACGCTGCAATAAATTTGGGATATTAAAAGATGGTGAAGTTGAGGTGAAGGACAACAGTAAAAAAAAAAATGCTAATAAACAGCCCACAGCTACTGGCTTCTCAAAACAATAGCCTACAACTTTGGGTAGCCTCTCACAACTGTTATGATGCTCTCCGTGCAGTTAACATTCCTCTATGTCCATGCTCAAAATGTAAGATGAGATAAATATGTGAAAGCCACATTCACACGTTTTGTATTGTCAGATTACATATCGGCACATTCAGCAGCCAATGCTTTCTTTGTGCCAAAATCCAAGTCTCTCCTTGGCTCGAGTCTGCCTGAAAAACGCCTGTTGTTGAAGTGTTTGCGCAGCCACAGCTGTCCTCAGATGCCCTCCAATCCATCAGCCACGGTAACAAACAGGGGGGCTCCTGCACAATTGCTTAGCTCAAGAGGTCATCTCCTTGTCTTTCTGCTCAGACATTTAATAAATAGGAAAACAAAATCCACTGTAGCATGGACACTGGGGCTTATCCTTGTGGCCACAGAGCAGCAACTCCAAATCAACCCACCAATTTAAGCTCAGAAGTGCTTATGTAATATTGTGACCGATCTGATCCAGTGGCACAACAAAACACGCATGATGCATGATGTCATGTTGAATTCCCTGCAAGCGCGTGCAGGAAGACGTTACGCACGCAGCACTGGGTTTCGTTTTGTGTTGCACAGGGCAACGGCAAGCCACATATAGACTTGTACTCATCGTGTCTAGGATCTCAGTTAAGTGTAGCCCCTCTGATTGGAATTACCTTGTGATACACATTGTGATAGTCAATACACAGTTAACCTGCAGGGGTTTATTTCGCGTTAATACACGTGAATAACACATTTGGTTGCTGACGTGCCCAAATGCGTAAAAACTATACTGTTACTTACACAAATGCGAAATAGTCCGAGCTGAAATCAAGAGGTGACAAAACAAAGAGGAAAAGTCTAAATTGTCGTGTTGGAGTGGGCATGCGCGTCTCTCAACTATAAAGACAAAAAGCTTTAAATCTACCGGATTTCTGAATGAGAAAGGTTTGGTTTTTTTTCCGAATCCTACTTTGGCACAATAAGAAAGCGTCACCATACACATTTAAAATTACGCACACCTGTAAAATTATATTATTTCTCCTAGAACAGAGGCAACGATACACAAATAAGAAAATGTAGGTCTACTAGAAATTAAGCTACTTAAAGCAATTTACAACCACAGCACAGACACCAGAGCCAGCTCAAACATATCGATAGTGCAGTTTTTTCCTCTAAATAGTGCCCGGGACCTAACCATGCAGATATTTTAAAGTTTGTGAAGTTCACGTGGTTGTTAGCGTTCACTTCCTGCTTTACTCTTCAATTTCTACAGTGTCAGATACAAAAAACAAGAAACACTACAACTGGACACACTAATGTTAAGAACAAATTGCACTCCGTTCCAATTACGCACAACGTTTCAAACCATACTCCATTTTGATTACACAATACGCGCTTTTGGAACCACTTCACCCCGCCGTGTACTCGCCTCGTTTCCTGTCGGAGCTCATCCAAACGTGGCGCACTTGCTGCAGCTCCCCGCCTCCTCCTCCCTCTTCTTCTTCCAGACAATGAATGAAACCAGTTTTGGAAACGGTCAAGCCCACGACCGGTCCATGTGGGTGCGCACTCGTCTCGTGGTATACTCCCTAAAATCTCCGCGAAATTAAAAATCTTTGTAATGGTTCTGCTAAAGTGAATACATCGCGGAATCAGCAGCATCCCATAATGACCAATACAAGGGGAGAAAAGGCGGAATAATCACACGTGTGCGTAAACAAAGCGTGGACGTTACGCTAGAAAGAAGCAATGCGTAAAATGGTAACTCTGGTAGGAAACCGTTATGGTTACATTGTAAATAAGATGATACGTTACCTGCAGGATGCTCAACTTCACTTCTCTGCGGTGCGGTCACTGCCCAACGCTCCGTCAAGCCGGTTCTGATCACGACCGAGCCGGAACAAGGCAATGGATTTCAAAATAAAAGCATGATTTGGTTTTTACGCGGTGGGAAATTCACAAACCACACACTCCATTGTTATTATATTGTTGTTTGTAAAGTGAAATTATTGCAATATAATGTTGATATGTGTTTTACAATAGAGTTTACTGTGTAGCTGCTGTTTTAATGTTATGGAGCGGATGTATAATGGCTGTCTAACTTTACACTATTGCCTTATTAGTGCGCTCAAATTACTAATAAAAGTCGATTTTCTCCATGTTTGCGAATTGATATAAATTATAATTAAATCTATTAACCAATCGAATAATTTAATTTATCCCCCAAAGGCAATTTAAAGGTGCACGATGTAACTTTTCTGGTGAGGGACCCTCTACCTGATCTATAGACGTTATTGCATTGCCTTTAATGTACAGTATGGTGCTCCAAAATACGTTGAAAAACATGCATTTTTATTGTAAGCGGGGTCGCAACTCCAGAGATCAGACCTGGCATTTACTGGTGCCACAGATTTGTCTTTTTAGAGATAGAAAAGCTTTAAACCCCATACTGTGGAAACAGTATCTCCAATGACAAACAGGTGGCAGACTCAACATTAGAAAAGTTATAGTGCACCTTTAGCAGCGATAACATCGTGAGAAAAGGCCTGGAACTACAATTTTCTACAGCCTAACAAAAATATTATCCGAATTTTAATTACGTTTTGTGGTAAATTTCTGTCATTACATTTGAAGGTGTATATTTTCTCTTTCTTTTTTTTTTTTTTTTTTTTTTTTAAATACATTTTAACTCAAGGTCGTAAAGTATGTATGTAGTAAGACAAAATTTTCATCCTATGTCCTTATTTTTTATTAACACTGTAAAGTCCATGCTAGTTGTCTATTGTTTACCTAAAATAAACCCAACCATTAAAAAAAAATAAAAAAAATTGTTTTGTTTGTTCATTGTATTTTTTTTACTTTAAACTACCATATGTGCACTGCTCTAGAATCACGAGATGGGCTGTACCTGCTAGTTTTCTAATGAAGACCACTGGGGCAACTTTGAGAGTTAAGCTTCCCTATTTGTGCTCTAGTTTATTCCAAGGGGGTTGCCAGGTGCTGAAAAGCTCTCTAAGGATAGTACCTACTGTATATGCTGATTCTGAATACAGTGATGTCATCCAGTGCAGTTCCCCAAATACCATCCCATAATAACACAACATGCTGCAGAGCGTGGTGAGCTCCCAATGACTTCATGATCCTTTAACAGGCTTATGCAACTGATCACAGCCTCATTTGGAATTATGTAAGCGCATTAGCCGGTCACGCCGCTCACAGCTGGGGTAGCCATGTTGGGACTACCCCATAAGAGTACCCGTGATGTGGGTCAGAGCGCCACAGACAAACCCAGTGCTGTTTGATGCTGGGTGATCAGGGATGGGCAGGGGTCAGGTATAGGGCATGCAGTTGGTTAATTCAAACTACTGTATCAGCATGTCATTAAGTGAAATCTTGTCAACAATGATGTCAACAATGATGTAACAATGTAGTTCAGATTGTTATCATGATGACACCACAGTAGGGCTTGGTGACATGACAAAAACAATGGCACTGAAGGATGGGATCAACTACAAAGGACAAATAAAGATGTTACATTGAAGTATCCAATGTCAAAACATGACTTAGCACCATGAAATTTTAGTTCAAGAGTTAATGCGCCATTAACAAACACGTATGAGAGAATGTTAAATGTAATTACACAACTTTTTAACATGATAGTAGTTTTATGGGTAGATTTAAAAGACAGTTTACTTCTACTTGAGTATTACAATTTACTTTATTGAATACAAGTTTTGTTTAGTCTTCATGAGTAATAAAAGATTTTATATTAATAATGTGTTTACTAGGCATGCATGTTTAATATTTCATGTTGTTCTTCAGATATGATATAGTTGTTCATTTTTGTGGTTTGTCCTTTGAAAATATAAGATTGTGTGTCTTATTTAAGGTTTACTTGAGTAATATTTTAAGAAAGGGTACAGTATCTGGATACACAGCCCACTTTTGTGAACATACAGTATAATATCCATCTCACTCCTTGCAATAGAAGCGCTGTCCCTTCATATTATACTTGTATTTCTTTGGGGAATCCCGGCACTGAGTAAAGGGAGCACCATAAATCACTGTTTAGCTGAGTCATGTGACCAGGTAGGGGAGGGACACAGCTCTTGGTAATCCCAGTTGGGTTGACTTGATTAGAAGCAGTGAAAATGCATGCTTCAAATGTTATGTGTAGATTGTAGAGAGTGCAATTGTAATCCATGTTCAACACAACACAATCAACACAATAAACAACAGCCCCATCTAGTGGTTATAAACGAGTATTGGCCTCATCATCATTAGACTGATATAAGCCTTTATTTTGATCATGATAGCACAGAAATGAAAGAAGTGGAAGTTCATTATACCATAGTAAGTAATAAAGAAGTAATCAAAATCACTTATCACTTCACAAATAATTTGGCTTGAATTTTGCAGTGCTCTTAGGTCATCACAAAAAAAAAAAAATGCTTAGAAGCATAACCCAAGATAGAAAAGGTGCACTTATTTACATTATAAGAAACAACTGTTCACTTTTACCAATCCCAGTCATTAATCTTAAATGTGGGAGGCAATATTTTTTAGCTTCATAACATAATTGCTTAAGCCATTTTTCATGTTTTTTGAGGGGAAAACAACAACAACAAAAAAAACCAAAATACCGATGTCAATAAAGGATGGTTTTAGTTTTTTTGGCTGTAGAAAAAAGTCTGATTGGCCGAAGACACAGCCAACGAGAGCTACAGGTGAAGCAGGGTCTGGAGAGTGAAGACGGAAAACTCGATTTGGCTAAAAATTTGTTGGGCAATTGTGCTATGACGGCGGCAATATTTTGGTCAATTTGGTCTCCTACATTCTGTAAAATTAACAATCTCACATTTTTATATAAAAGAAGAAAACAGTATAAAGACTAGGCTAAAAAAAAAGAAGTTTACGTTATCTTTAAAGTTTAAACCTCTGATTCTTTACAAACAAAAATATATCTTTGGTGCAAACTGCAAAAGGGCTTGAGTGTTGTATTTAGCTGAAATCCCTATCAGGCAGAACCAAGGGGGCCACCAGGGTCCAGAGGAAGAGTGCCAGTCCAAGCCAACTGGAGCAGATCTTCACCCACACCGCTGGCATGGTGGTCTGCATAGCCTCGTATTGTGTGTCAGGCCTGGGGAAAAAATCAAGTTAAAATAGACTAATTTGAGAAAGAGAGTAAAAACTAGAATAAATTGAGAATGAGAATAAAAACTGTGATAGGTAAAGTTGTCAATAATTGTAGTAAAAGTTTAAAGAGGGAGTATTACACTTCTTCTATAACATAGTTAGACTTCCATGTAGTTTTTTTTTTGATGAGGGAACAAACTTAAAACAAGAAACACAAATGTTCAAATCATTTAATATTGTCAACCTAAAACCAGAGAGACCAGAACTGTCACTTGAAACAAAATATTATTTAAGTAGGAGTAAAAGTATATAATCTGAAACCTACTACAGTCTAGTTTTTTTAAGGAATACTCACTTGTACCAGTTGGTTAGTGTCATCATGATGTAGAGGGAGGCGAGGAACAAAGAGAAGTGGAAGAAGGAGTAGCTGTAGGTGACCCCGTCCTCTTCGTTGTCCACAGCTCTGACCACCCCATCCTCCCCTGGGGTGGCCTCCACGTCTGAGGTCAGGCCTGTGCCCTCCTCCGTCTGCATCAACCGGTTTACCTGAGTGTTGTTGGACGAACGGATACTGCGAAAGGAGAGAGAAACAGCAGCAGCAGTCATAACTATGCCTAAGACCATGAAGTGGATTATGTGACTGTATGCTGTTACTTCTGAATTTGGGTCTGCCACGTATGTTACTGCTAGAAATCTATACAAAACAAACATTACTGACAGTGTGTGATCAGTGTATTTACACTGAACATACACATAATTTAATGTTAAAATACATATTTCGTAATAATAAATTAATAGTTGTAGAGTGGTAAAATACATTTTTCAAAATCAACTAAATAACCACATGACTCTTGCAGGAAATGAGACGTTGGCAGTGCATCCTGTTCCTGAGCTTTGTTCTTAGCTCATCCTACCTGCTGTGTTTTTACTGACACTGAAGGCGTTTTGGCTATCCGGTCAACCAACAAGACTAACTATGTTTTTAAATTATTTTTTATTAGAATCAGTTCCATTTATTTATTGGTGTAATTTGGATTTTTAAGCAAATAAGTATCATGCTGAGAATTCTGACTGCTAATATGCTATAGTTTGGATAATTTGGGGCTGCAAGTTTACTACCAGCTGTAAGTAATACAGTACCTGGCATAAAGAGTACAGAAGAGGAAAATGAGCAATCCCACAATGCTCTGTGCGTCCCACCACTGGACCGGACCGGGAGCCTGTGTGGGAGCGGGTCCCGGAGCTGGAGTGGGGGTGGGGGTGTGTTGGACCAGGCTCAACAGGCTGGGGTTACATGTCTTGTCTGGATAAAACAAAATGGAGTTCAAAGTTCAAAATAAATAAATAAAAGGTGCACTATGGTAACCTGGTAGTCTTCATGGAGATGGTATTGCTTTTACGAATAATGTTCCATAGTATGGCATTAAACGTATTTATCTCTAAGTGTTGATGCCATCAGGCCAAGTTACAGGTCAGATCTAAACAGACCAGAACAGCTGTTAATGAATAAATACAGATAAAAGTTGCCGACCCTCACTATAAAAACTACACAATGAGACTTTCATTAACTTGAAAACTTGCTTTATCTTTTTTATTCAGACACTATAATGTGTATCCAGCAGGTGAAGTGAGTCAATTAACCCCTTATTTTTTCCTTTCTAAATTACACATTTCTAACAAATAGTGCATTTACTTCAATAATAGCTACTCACTGGGGTTGTTGCTCATGGCAGACCAGGTCAGGTACATGGTGTAGAGAGATATGAGGGAGGCCTGCAGCAGTCCGGAGCTTGGCTGGGCTTCCTGCATACAAGACAATTCAGTTTCAATTGTACACAACAGGTGGGTTTCAGACGACATCATAATATTCTATAGGCCAATAATATTTAATACAGAGGGGGGCAAGTTGAATCAGTAATGTTAAAATGCAGATTTTTATTGTAATACAGTGTGTTCTTGGGTCTAGTCAGTAGTAGAATCAGGTTCAAATAATTCAACAGAACGTGCAATGTAATCAACAGGAAAAATCTGTCTCACATCATCACATTCTTAATACTTAAAATGTGATTTTTTTTTACACTGTCTTTGCAGTAGAGCAGTCAAAAGTATCCAAAAACACAATAAACTAAACTAGACACTAAACAAGTCTGAACACCAGATAGAAGACTAAGTAAAGATTATCATCGTGATATCGAAGTCTGTATTGAGTATTGAGTCTATTCCTTAGTATCAAAATCAAGTTTGAAATTTTAGCATCGTGGCAACATTAATTTGCAGTACCTGGACTTTGGGAAGGATGGACACGATGGACACAGCAACGCAGAAGATGAAGTTGAGGCTGATGAAGACCTTGTGCTCAGTGCAGGCTTCCGGGGTGGTGTAGTAGATGTAGAAGAGCACCATGGCAGAGAAAGCCAGAGCGTAATGCAGGAAGGTGACAGTCAGAAGAGCTACAGGCAGAAACAAGAACAAGTGAAAACTAACACCAGCCAAGGCAATATTAACCAATACCAGTGTAGGGACTAGAGATAGACCCATTTCTGTTGGCAGATATACTGTCTATAGGCAGATATTTGGACTTTTTAGCATACTGGCTATTAGGATCTGGATTCTAAATAATCTGTATCAGCATCAGCTATGAAAAACAAAACAGACTCGTCAGACGTATCTTTCAAATAACTACTGAAATGTTCTATTGGAAAAAAAGTTTAAACATTATGAGACATTAGAGATGGTATTTTCATTGAACTATGTTGTGCTTGTGTGGTTACATAATCGTGTTGTATACTGACCTGCATACCAGGCCTTGGAGTTGCCTTCTTCTGCCTTCTCCAACCAGGACTGGCTCCAGGAGTGAGCGAAGTCCACCAAGAGGATGAGCTGGATGATGATGAAGATGAAGGAGCCCACCACGCCAAAGTAATACCACACTAAGAAGCAAACAGTTTAGCCAAGCAATATCATGTTTATTTTAACTACATTTGTTAAATAGCTGTACCTGTGGTAAAGATGCCATCTGGAATGAAGAAGGCTCCGACAGTTATTCCAACCAGAATCAGGAACTTAAAGAACCAAAAACTGAACGACAACAAGTTAGTACATATGTAAACATTTGCTGTATTGTAAAGCATGTAGTGAATCAAACAACTGTGTATTCAATAACATATTTTAACGCAATAAATAGTACTGTCTCCCTTTAAAGTTGCATCTCCATGAAGAGGGTGTCACCTGCTTATCCATTATCATAACAATAAGCAGGTGACACCAACAGGTCAAGTTACAGGGCAGATCTGAGCAGAGTCAACCCCACTCATGGTAAGAATGTTTGAAATCCATGGTCTTTCTGAGTAATAAAAATATCAGTAAATTTGAATAAATGCAACCCCAAAGTGCATCTTTAATAGTAAGAAGTACCATCTAAAGCAGGCATGTCCAAACTATGGCCCGTGGGCCAAATGCAGCCCTCAGAAAAAAATTTCTTGGCCTTCAGGTTTCCAGGTGAATTGGCCCAAATTACCTTGCGTCAATTAAAAATTTACTTTTTACTGCAAGATTTTTGAAAATCTACCTTGATAAAGCTAATATTTAATATTTATTGTGTGGTTTTAAGGAGCTTAGCATGAATAAAGACTGATGGATCATTCTAACGTGTTGAACATGCACATATTTCAATTATTCACTGTATTGAGCACCAGCCCTCAATCAGCCCTCTGCTTCTTCATCTGTGTTAAGATATGTGGCCCTTGATGAAAAAAGTTTGGACACCACTGATGTAAAGAAAGTTGTTTGCATTTATAATTGACTCTGTGAACTTTCTTTCAAAAGCCAAATCAATTCCTTTTTAGTATATAAAAAATTATTCATTCATTGAACCTTAGGTTTAATTCACAACACGAGTATAAAAGTGTAACAAAAAGAACACTTATTGGGTTAATTTTAGCAGGGTAGCAAACAATTTTAAGTTGTTTGGAAATTAACTTTTCATATAGAAAATCTACAAGATGGTGAGTAGTGATTGACAAAAATGAAAATTGACACATTCACTCATCAGAACAGACATCAACAGAATTTTTGATGTAAATGAAAACACTGAAACACAGTTCCTATGTTTGTCCACCAGAGTGCGACATACAACCATAAACTACACTGATACCCCTGGAGGAGTGATCAGACACTGACCCGTTCTGGATGGCTGCGCGGGGGTCCTTGCTGCTGCGCACTCGGATCATGATGATGGAGAAGAGGAAGAAGAAGCAGGCCATGGCGAAACACATACGGTACACAGACTTGTAACCCACGATGATATCACAGTTCACTTTGCCATGAATGAACGGGATGTTATCGTTGCCCTCACAGAAGCCAGGGATCTGAAAGCAAAAGAAAAAGATAATGACATTGTATACATTTTTATTGTTCAAAACCTTTCAATATTACAGTAACAGAATTGACCAAGTTTATTTTTTTTTTTATTTTGTTGCTTGGCTAGTGTTCTTTTAAGTTCAAACTTTTAAAGTTTGTGAAAAATTAATAATGAATAAAAACATTGTATGAAAAATAATACACAATATGCAAGCTATAGTTATGGTATATACATTTGATCATTGATCCGACTTTTGGGATTTATTTCAGTATTTGTTTGAAAGCTCTGATCATTGGTTCCACTTGCTTTCAATGAGTCAGCCCAGATTGATGTGAAGAATTCTATTGATACGGCTACGCATATCAGTTTGGCAAGAAACAAGTTAACTTTAAGAACTGATTACAAAAAAAATAAAAAAAAATAAAAATATATTTCTATTTGTTCCTCCTAAGTCCAAACTCTGCTCCAAACCACTTGCTTTTATTGATGCAGAATTGGCTGTAGACTTCTCCGTTAAAACACCCACGCTGATCATTGACTTGACTGATCTCACCTCACATGACTCACATACCCAACAAGACCCAACAGTGAAGTAAAAAGAACCAAAACTTGTGCATGCTAAATATCTGAAAAAAAAACTAAAACCTTTATACGGGTTAAAAAAAAAACTTATTGTTAAACTAATTCATCCTAAAAATCCTTGTTACAAACTAAATTAAATCTTGAAGCAGGTTTTATGGGCTGGTAAATCATGAACATGAAAACTTGGTGCACAGAGCTACAATTTATCTCAAAAAGCCTATTCAGTTGAACTTCATCCTTTCTCCTCTCCGTTGCCGGGTTACAGACTTGAAAACATTATTCAAACAGTTGAAACATATTTTTTTATATTTCTGGTCTGACTTACTAACAGCATGTGGGCAGAGGAAATGAAATGATCGGGGTTAGAAGGTTCCAGCTGATGTGATTAGGCCTTTGTATGGAGAAATGGATCTACACTGCACAGTGTACAGTAGGCCTTAATGATTTGGGCAAATGATCCAATTGTGATTTTCCTGACAAGGATTACAATTACAGTTAGATTAGTCTCTTAATTATAAGATTTTGTCAAAGTTCTGGTCAAATTACTGTATTATGCATACAGAAGAATTCACAAAAAGATTTATACAAGAATCACATTTCAGAGTGTGTTTGTACTGATCTATACTAGACGGTTTACTCTTTTTCTGCAGAATAAGATGGTATAATAGAAAAAGAAGATATTTTGTTGTTTGTGGTAAGGCTACCTGATTTATCATAATAAAATCAAAATCATAATTTGAATGGACATTAGATGCAATTACAAAATCACAAAGATGGCAATTTTGATGTACCATACTTTTCTCTACAAACAACTAAATCTCCTGTCTTATTCTAAACAAAAACAATTCTGTCATTTAGATCAGAACATGTTCTGAGATGTGATTCTTGTATTAGTTTGTCAGTTCCCATTGAGGAATGAATTTTTGTCAGTTCTATGTACAAATTTGAACTTTGAACCAATTTTTTTTATTAAAGGGAGGAAAATAAGGTATGTCAAAAACTGCAGCTTTTGTGATTTGCTAACTGCGCATATCCTGTCTAGTCCAGTCTAATACCTTCTTGAGGTTGTCCTCCATGCCAGGCAGGATCATGATGATGGACACCAGGGTTCCCAGCAGCAGCAGGAAGGAGAAAGCGAGGCGGCTCATGGTGGAGTTATAGGTGGAGGGGCAACATGACGACAGCAGACAAGGGGCCGAACCACACAGACACGATGCCTGGAGAAAGGGAGAGAGACCAATGCTACAAAACAAGACTCCACATCATGTTTGTTGTTATATATATATATATATAGACTCCAAACATGTTCACTGTACAGACTTTATGTATGGCTACCTGTGTTCCTTATTTCAGTCTGTTTATTTACACTTTTTGAAGTATGGAGAGCCTTCTTTTTCTCCAAACCTCTATACTTTATGCAGTTTTATCGTCAGACAGGCTATATTAAAAACTAAAGGTAGGATTTCTAAATTTAACATTATTTCTGAGCCTACAAACAGGTCTTTAGAGTGGACACGCTAATCACAGTAAAGCATGTCATGAGGGGAAGAAACCAAACAAACACAGAGTCTGCTGCCACGGCAACCAGCTCCCCCCTCCGCCTCCTCCTCCGCCTCCTCTGCTCCTCTTCCTCAGGCCATCCCTCCACACAAGCAGACGAGCCCTGGTTTACACTGTCTATAATCAGGCCTGCTATTACAGTCACAGTAGACCTAACATGAGTCTGCTTAGAAGCTATCCTTGGAGCATCTTTAACTCAAATACTGGACCTGTTGCCTGCAAGAAACCACTGCAAAAATAACAATAGACTAGGTTGGCAAACATCACATTATAAACAAGCTGGTGATGATAGTATGATTTCAGATGAAACGCAGGGGCATATGTAACTCTATACAAGATTGACTGTTTTTCAAATGTCGAATCTTATTGGAATTAGACTTACCTTTTGTTCACTCCGAGGGGAAATTTGTTACAGACATGCATAACCAAGCATACTAGCTGAGCAATTTATCTCAAAAAGCATTGGATCTTGGTCATGTGTAAATTCTGATTAAGATTAGATTTGAAAAAAAGATAAAATGGTCACAAATTGTCAAAGAAAAATGTGTGTTGTTTTTTGTCTATAAACTGTAACTAAACAAATTGTGAACAATTTAAAAGAATGTTAATGCGAACCAAACATGCATTTGAAAGCCTCACAAGGATACTGAAGGTGGTAAAGTCTGCGAAATAAGACATGTTTTCAGAGACGTACTTATTCAGAGGACACTTATCTAGGCTGCATATGCCACAAGCACCTGTCATGATGAATGAAGAGGTGGTCCTTCTGTCTAAGAGGCTGATAACAGTTTAAAAGTACAAAGAAAAAATGCATCTTTGCTTTTTGTTTTTCTTTAGTTTTTTTCCTTTTGTGCCATTTTTATTAAGTGTGTTACTTTTATTTTCTAGTTATTTATTAAAAAGGGACAAGACATATTAAAATAATATGAAATAAAATGCAGAATTGTGAAAGCTAATTTCCATCCTTAGATATAAGTTTGTTTGTTTTTCTAATAGTTTTATTAGTTATTTATACTACTACTACTACTACTACTACTAATATCATCTTTGGTTTCTATTCTTGCACAACCTAGATTACGTACATGTGTGAAGAAGCACATGATCCCAAACAAAAAGAAACAACCCGGAAATGGTAACTTTTAGCTACCAAGTTCTTTAAACTACATTTTGGGGTTGTACAAAGCAGATATTTGGCCAAAGTAATGTCTGTCCTATCGGATCGCATAAGCCAAAATCACAGTAGTTATCCAATTATTATCCAAATACATATTACAATAATCCAGAATTCTATGACTTGAAAATCAAACAAGTCGTCTTTCTACTCAAAAGGTTTAATAAAATAGTCAAAAAGATTACAATGTGTAAGCTATTTGAACAAGCTTAAAGTCACATAATCGGTTGTATTTTCAGCCATTTTAGCACGTTTTCATAACATTCACGTGATGTTATTTTAGCTTCCTAGCACAATCTTGATCATTAGACAGATTTTCCGTCAAAATCATCGATCCTAATGTAAAGGGAGACGTATAGATTTCTTAAAAATACTTACGCAGCTTGCAATGGAACACGGCAGAGCCAAACAAGCCCCCATGACGTTTAATTTCTTGACTTTTTCTCAAAGAAAAGTATCAGGCAGGTATCGCAAAAGTTCAGGAAGAAACGCAACAAAAATGGCAACATCAAGTTAGCAGCAATAGCAAAGATTGGCTTCTGGTGATCTACCAAAATAAAACACATTCAAATCATTTAAAAAAGTTAAGAAACACAAATTAACATCAGAATAAGTAGCACAATTTATTTTAGTTTTTACGCAGGTTGTTTATTAACACTTATTACATATATTAATGAATTGTAGCCACAGTATTTAAGGATTTGTACCAGTCTTATTTTGAAGATTTGACTACTTCCTGCGTAAACTGTGTAAAGCGTCAATAAGTGCGTCCCCTCCCATCAAAGGGCGTTCACTAACAATGGAGTTCATCCTGTCTGAGCACTTTTAACAGGGACAGTGGCCTATTTACAAACGGTACATTTGAACCTTTTTGAGCACCTTTATATATTTACATTGTAACTGCTACAGATGTTCATTTATTTGCACTATCCTAAATGATAGTATCCTTGAAAATAAACAAAATATAAAATAAATAGATACCTATTTACAATTTATGAAGTACTTTGTTTTTATAGCGAAAGAAAAATTCACATCTGTCAAAGGTTTTAGAGTGAATACGTTCCACTGCTCAGGAAAACAGCTTTTTCAGTTTTGATCATACCTTGACGACTAGGGGGATTACAGATATCACTGCCTTTAACACCAGATGTTAAGTAGATAAGGTGTTATTCGTCACCTTAAAAAAAAAAAAAAAAAGACGACTGCAATTTCAAAAAACATACAGTTTACATACATTATATATCACTGTGGTATTTTTTTCTCATTACTTAGAAATTTCCCGTTAAAATGATTCATGATTCCAGGAATTGTCTCCATAAAAAACTTTCCCACTTGAGTTCAGGTCAGACAGTATACGGCATATGAGTCATAACTATATGCTGTAGTCTCTTATAAACCAATTAGCCCATCAGAAGTTCATTACATGATGTACTGTTTTACATATGTTACAAAACGTTTTATAATCTAGTTAAATTGCATTTAGTATGAATATCCACAAATCAACATAAAAAGATTTATCATTGAAGGTTTAAAGACTGTATGGTCATTGTCATAACAAACACTGTTTTGATATAAAGTGCAAATAACCCCAGTGACTAAAGTAGTTGTAAGCGCTCTGGTCCACTGCAGAGAATAAATTAAACTGTATAATTATTTTGTATTACATCTCTTGCTTTTCTCTTGCACTTGTCACTGCTATTAAATATTAAATAAATACCTAAATGTGAATCTTGATATTTTGGGGTTATCACATATTTTTTAATTATCTCACCAACTTCCATTATAATCAATGAGAAATGCTAAAATAATGTAACTCAATGACATTATATAAGATCAAATGCATTCAGTATATCAATATGTACATATAGAACATATATATTCTATACTTTGTCTGCCGCAGATATGAAAAGATTGCAAACAGGTTCATTGAGTACATAATAACATAATGTATTCTGTGTTATTGAGCTGTTGGATGCTAGTGAAGGTCAGACAATGGGCCGAACACAGCAGCAGCAGACGACGTCCCATCTGTTTGTATGTGACCTTCATATAACAGGCTGTGTCACAAATGCAATGGGCTGCACAACGTGAGCGGTTTACAGCATGTTATAGGATGATCGTGCATACTAGGTTATAAAATGTATAGATAAAGTTATAACTTGTATTAAAAAAAACATTATAAGTGTCAAGTCTTTATTTCCGGAATGCAGGTCCAACTTGAAAAAAAACAGGGAAACGGACACAAGGCTCAACTCGGCTTGAAGTTTTTATTGAAATAATTTGATTCTTTTAGTTGTGTAGTAGTAGTAGTAGCAGTGGTATTTGTAGTTGTTGTAGCTGCAGCAGTAGCAGGTCGAAAACAGTAAACAAATGTGTAATGAAATTAAATTAACATTTTACAATTTCATCAGTTATATAATCCATTTTAATTTTAATTAATACACTTCAATTATAATATTTATCATTTATATATAATATTATATATATATATATTATTTATTGTATTTTATAATATCTAGTATACATTTCACACATGAACTTAAATAGCTATCATTTTAACCAATCATTTTACCAATAATTTTTTTGTCCTATAATTAACTTTCTATACGGTTTTAAATGAGTGCATGAAATGTAATATTTGAAGATAAATTTTGATACATAAATACATTGTTTTTTAATTGCTAAATAACATATATTTATATAATATTTAACTAGAGCTACTTAAACTTAGAATTTACATAATTTTCTTTAAATCAGATTTACTACTCTATAATAAACAAATTAGTTATTCAACTTAACTCTTTTGGCATTTTCAAACTTAAATTGAATTTATTTACAATTTCCGTGAAACTTAAAACTAATTTTAAAGGTAAATCTAATCACCAGTAGTGTCTCTGTGTTTCCCTTCACATTCCTTGGTTTGGTTTGATTTGTTTGCGCACACCTGGGCGTAATTAAATGATTACAGAGACACACCTGTTTACCTGGTTTTTTGGTCTTGCTGCCATCTACTGGCCAGACTAAAAATAATCTAATCAACTAATAAAAAGGGGAGGGGAGGAGGAAGAGGAGGGAGCAGAGGTGAGAGGAGACAGGGCTCAGGAGTGGAGGTGGAAACTTGGTGCAGGGGCTGGGCTTTTTAACTTGACAATAAGTTAAGTAAGACTGCAATAATTAATCACACCTGGTTGACTATTAAAGTAATTGTAAGCATTTAGAAATTATTATCTGGACTATACAGAAGCTAAAACATAAGCCAAAATATGTTTTATAACAAAATATGACAAACACAGCTGCACTGTTGAATTAAAATGCAGAAAAAGAACATTTTCAGATTTGTGTCAAAAATACATTTTATTTATAATATTTCAAGAAGCCAGTAGTCATATTTCAAAAAAAAAAAAAAAAAATCTCAATGTGCAACAAAAATACCTAATCCACTGACATATATACCTGAAAAAATAATTGCTGACTAGTTGAATACTTGTGAAGATATCATTTTAAAATGATAACACTGTCCATTCTTCAAATGAAAACAGTATATTTTAGCACAATTATGCCTATATTCTGTGAAATTATACCCAATAATATAAATTGATTGATACTGGATTATATTTTACAATGGGGGTTGTACATTTGTGTGTTCTGAGTTGGTTGAAGAAAGGGAGAGAGACCAGAGTTTTGGAGGTTCAGACCTTAAAATTAGGAAACCCCGGTTGAAGGTTTGTTACATGTTATAATTTTGTTTCTTTAATACAATTTAATTATTATAGGTCTACAATAAACAGAATATATTCAGACCCAGCCAAAAGTTTGAAGTTTGATGGTGGGCTTAATATTGGTTGCCAAAGTTAAAATCAACAAATTTGGTGCTTTTTAAATTGTCAAGCACTTGTTTTATGATCCAACAAGAACCCGTCTCATTGTCTTTGTTGGAATTTTTACATAAAATGTATTTTTATGTACATGTTAATGGGTGACTGATTATAACTAAAGGTTAATTTCCATCCATTATCTCAAAAGGATCAAGATAATATTGCACACTCTTTGCACAGTCCAAAGTATCCCCATTATTCCTCAGTCAATTTGGACACACATTCAACACATGTACATTTTATACCCACCCTGTTCATATTTTACTCCTACAAACAATAATGTCTCCATAGAAAATCTATTAAAATCACAATACACTATAAATGAGTGCATGTTTGAGTTTTAGTGTTACAGCTATTTTAAGGCAAGAAAAATAAAGTAAGCTAGGACACTTGTTCCTTCCTTTATCCTTAAGCATTAGCCCAGATAAAAGCTAGGACAGGATGATTCACACTGCCCATTGCACAGCTGTATGGGTCAATAAATAAAAGACGTGTACGGCGTTTAAGTTAGAGGTTAAAACATATATAGACACCCCTTACTAGAACACAATGGTATAAACCTGAAAATAACACAAACAGCGCTTAAAGAAACTTATGGCAAGTTGACGTAGGTGTTGCAAGAAACTGACTCATAGTGACTTCAAAATAAATTAATTGAAGCTAATGAACAGACTTCAACAAGGCTAAACAATTACTTTAGACAATCTGAGGTCATATAATCAAATGGTGAAAATGGGGTTTGCTTTACCATCTTTGGAAATTTGTCCTCTGCGTCTGAGCAGTGCAGTGTCTGCGTGTATGATTGTGTATGTGAATGGTTGAGTGCTTCCTTGTTGTTAAGTGCTTTGAGCACCTTGAAGGTGGAAAAGCGCTGTGTAAAATGTGACAAATATTGCTGGAACAATAGGTACACAGTGAAAAAGAAATTGAATAATCATATTTGTTCATAAAATTCTTAGTCTGATCATGAATGTGAATAAGCTACATTCATTTTTAATAGTTATGGTCTACCCAGAGACTATATAAAGTCAGATGTGGGTTTACCACAGGCTTACTGAAATAATCTAGAGCAGGAGCACTTAGCTTAATGTTACAAAAAAAAATGCTAAATGATCAATCATGTGTATTCATTCTAATGTATTTGTGGCTATAAAACACCTATAACTGCTAATTATCAAGAATTCGTTTTTATTTTGAAGTGCATCCTCCCTTCTTCCGGTCCCCTGGCTGCTCGGTGCGCTCTTGCCGCTCTCCCCTGCCTGTCTGCCGCTTCGGGGGAATGAGCGCGCTGCTGCAGCTTATTGGAGCCTAGTGCCATTGACAGTTCGCTCTATCCAGCCACAACTGCCTCTCCTGCCGCTTCTGCCGCCGCTGGAATGACGCCGTTTTCCACTACCGTACCGTGCACTTTATCCTCTCTTTCTTGGACGGAAAATGGTGGCTGGCGGTTGAACTAGTTGCCCACTTTTATCCGGACTGCGTTTTTGATTTGTTCCACTGCGAAGCGCGCTTGGTGAGTGCCTGTTACTATTTCGCCTTGTCACCTGTTTTGATCCACAGGTAGGATAGGTTTTTTCGCTTCATTTGGACAGGCTTTTCTATGTAACTTTCACCATAAAATGCATTCTGCACGTGGAATAATCGAATGTTGCAGCCATTACGCGCGCTTCTATGAACTTAAATATAGCAATGCTAGCATGGATTTTTAGTGCAGGTGTTAGCATTATGGATCGTAAAATGACCTAATTACACATAAAACTTGTTGAACCCTTTCCATTTTTATTTTCAAACGTTTGTACCCTTGTTAGCCGATAGTGATCAAATCCACACGGGCTTAATGCGCATCAGATGTTCCCATTGAAATGCCACAGGCTTCCAGCTGAGCACATAGATTACCTGCTTTGTCTCCAGAGATGTTACCGTGACCCTCTCATAAGTCTGCTATAATCCGCTAAACATCTGTCCGGACTGTTTAAATGCTTTGGAACTGGTCGGGAAATGAGTATGGTAACAAAAATCGGAAATTCTGCAGACTTGTTGGTTGTACAGTAGACTATTCCACTTGATGCTGCTGATTGATGCTGGAATGTGAATATATTTAAACGTGCATTATCTAACTTTTCTGGTAGCTAGAGGATTCAGCAAAAGCAATGTTTTGCCTGGATTGTTCCACGGTATGGCATTATTGCGACAAGCAACCAGGCTAAGTTACAGGACAAATCTGTGGAGAGGCAAAGCCAATCACATGGTTTTCAAGTTATTTCTGAGCAATAATACTAGAGATCAAACAATATTTTGAAACCGATTGTTTAGAATCCACAGAAACTGATGGTGGATCAGCTCTGTGGACATTTTTGGGCCAGTAATTGCAAGATTAATGCCTACTGTGGAACATTCCTGGCAAAGCAAAAATAGCTCCATGGAAAGGGGAAGACTCAACAACAAAAAACATAGTGCATCTTTAAATAAATGTATCAAGAGTAAAGAAATACATTGTTGCGTAGAGCCTTCCTTATAAGTCAAATGGTATACGTGGATCTCTTGGTCTTTCCTTTAAGGGTTGGTTTATAAAAAGAAAGTATGCTATTGTATTAACTCACCTTTAGCCGAAACTGCTTTTGAAGTGGCACTTGTTGCAAAGCTTTGAGTAATACTTATGATCAAATGTATTATTCACAACAGGCTTCTTATATCTAGAATGGTCATCCTCCTCTGCACTGTAGGTCAATTGGTCAATAGGTTTGTTGTCTGTGAAATGTTCCCTGGGAGGTGATCAATAGTCACTTTATAACACTAAGAGTAATTGGGTCTGTCTGTCTAGCTAAAAAAGTACATTTTGTATCCTTTTCACTTCAGCATAATTTATTCTAGTGTGAATTTGTAAATTCAATTATATTAAATGTAGACTCGTGTATGACCCGTTGAGAACATTTTAAACAGGCTACACTTCAGATATAATTTGTAACAGAAATAGACTGTCCTCATTCATATACTTTACTGAAATTTCTTTATGTGGGCAAACCTATGTGGCGTTAATCAAAAATAGCCTAGAGCCTATGGATGAACAATATCAAATTTTTATTGTAGTTACATTTACTTTTTTGTAGTTTCAAGATTCAGTTCATGATGCACAATGTACTTAGTATTTGAGAGTATGAATTGCTAACTAATAACCCCATGCATTTCTGAAAATTTTTGTATAGGCCTAAACCAAAGGTTTAGCAGCATTTACCTCACTGAGACAGGATATTTTGTTGTTACATTACCTAATAGGATTGTCAGAAGTATCAATACCCAGATACTAATCAATACGGCAAAATATACAAATTTGAACAAGTATCTATACTGACTAGAAAAACAAAAACAAAAAAAATCATTTTCAAATCCTTAGTATCAAAATGAGTGTGAAATTTTGGTATGGTAACAACACTACTGTCACATATCTACAGCATTGGCAAGATCTTGCAGCTACATTTAACTTATTAACTTGATGGTTTTCCATATCAAAACCCGACCTTACATGTAATCGACATCTTAACCTCCTAGAGCCTGAAAACTCCACTTCTTATTAAAAATCATGATCTCTTTTGATGGAATCTAGTATTCACACACAATGGATTCAGAGGATTTTACACACCTCTTTGAAAACCCTCCCCCACAATGCATCTCACCTCCTATGTACTGCCAGGTCAGTGCCATCATGTGCTCTGTAATCCTGTCTTTTAGAGCTTTTCTTTGGTGGAACAGCAGTTGAGAGTAGGGCTGCACAATTTGCAAATATTTATATATATATTTATATTTATATTTAATTGTGATTTTTCTGACAAGCATTGTGATCAGATTTGTAATGTTTAAAGTTCACATTTGAAATGTCTCCAGGAGAACTGACAGAAATACATAAATATGAACAGACAAATGTAATGCCAGAATCATGATTTTTAGAACATGGGGGTACAGATTTAAACAACAATGTTAGGCGTTTCTTATGCAGAATAAGCCAAGATATATTTTCTTATTTGTTGGGGAAATTATGGTACTTAAAAAATTACAGCCTTTACACATTGAAATTTTGATTTCAATTTGATTGGAATTAATGTCGGAGCCCTAGCGGAAAGTTAAATCAGCCAGCTGTAAGCCTAGATTCTGGCTCTGCTTGCTATATAGATAGAAGTAGGATCATGTATATTTAATGCCAAGGTGGAATAGAGGAGACTGCTGGGTCATTGTTTTTGGGAGTTACTGTCTCAAAAATTAAAAGGCTTGTATTACATTACATTATTCAATTAAGTTAGTAAAGTAAGTTTTGTGTGTGTTGAATACATAAAAATGCTACACGTAATTGACACAATTAAACAGTGTTATGCACGTCATGACATGTGTTGATGACAGAGATGTATTTAATATTACAAGACATTCCGGTGTCTGCTGAGATATGGACTGTGGATGCAAACAAGCAGTGACATACTTCCATCTGAAACAAAACCATTATAGCTGGTGTACTGTTAGATGAGAGCTGCCTCATGTGGTCATACTGCTCTGTAGAAAAAGCCTGCTTTAACAGTATGTGTCATATTCTCTTGACACTGGCGGTGACCCATGCTGACACGACCCATATTGGACTATTGTAACCACACTCACTGAATGTCCTTGCACGTGTGTGGGCAAAAAGACATATTTCATTGTTTGCAGTGATTCTTCTAGTGATCTCTAACAGTGTAAAGTGGTTAAAACGCTTGTCCCAAACTCAAAAGGCTGCTGAACCAAACCTTGTATGTCCTACTTAAGCAAGACCATTTGACACATATCCGCTTTATCTGCATGAAAGTGTGTGTTAGTGTGAGTGTTGGTGATGGTCAGAGGGGCCAGTGATGGAGTTTGGCAGTCTTGCTTCTGTCAGTTTACTCCAGGGCAGTTGTGGCAGTAGTAGCTTAGTAATAGTGTTTGAAGTGAATTCATTATGTATGAGATTGTGAAGCAACTTTGAGCATTTGAAAAAGCACTATATAAGACGAATGCGTTTGTATTAGTTAGGGGTGGGACAAAATGCAATTTTCACAAAACGAGATACGAGATTGGGTCCATGAGACTGAGACTAAATGAAATTCGAACAAATAAATTGTGCAATGCAGTTTCCAGTTTTGGCCTCACAATTTTTTATTTGATATTGGTCTTTGAAACTATATGAAATATAACTCGCCAGCCCTTGTAATCCATGTAAACACAGAAAAAAAAAATTCACAAGATAATTTTCCTCGTGTGTGCACAATCTTGTGGCAATTTTGTCTCACAAAATCTTGTGCCATCACTGTTATTACTAGTGGCAATTTCACATTTAGCAGTTCAATTCCATTTACCAAATATACTACCTTTGTGTATTTAATTCAGCCTTTATTTATCTAGGTAGGTTGTTTGAAAAGCAATTCTCCTTTACAACGACAGCCTGGTCAAGAGGCCGCAGCACAAGGAGTACACAAAGAGCAGAACAATGAACACAATCCATAATAAAAGAATATAAAAGAGACATTTAAAAACAGGTGCACTCATCAGAAGCTACATCTCTTAAAGGGGCCATATTACATATTATTCTTTTTTAATGTTATAGTGTTTTTCCTTATTAGAAACATACCTGAAGTTGTGTTCTGTTTCATTCATACAAGTTTAACATGCCAACCCAACATATTTAGACTGAGTTCTCAAACAGAAAACACTCGGTTCCACCTTGTGATGTCATGTGGTAATACAGGAAGTGCTCTACTGTGTTTTTAAACTCCATACACCTTCACTAGAATCATTTAGGTAATTTTATCCCTGAAATTGCCAATATCTACTGAACCAAAGGTAAAAAGTTAACTTGAAAACTACAACTGTGACATGACCATGCGGAACAGAGCATTTTGAACATTAGAGAGCTTTGGATATATAGACAGATTAATAAGAAAGATTGAAACAAAACACAACTCCGGGTAAATTTTTGATGATGTAACAACTTTACAACATGGCTTAAAGCTCACAAGAGTCAATTTTATGTAATATATTACTTTGAAATAGAATAAAAAATATATAAATCCAAGTTCAGTATCCAGAAAAAACCTAGCACATTATAAGACAAATAAACGCTGTCACCCATATGGTCTTCAGTAACTGTCTCAAAGGCTGAAGCTCCAACACTACATTTACTCCACATGACACTGCGACATCTTGAAACTATTTGGGACCATTCTCACTTGTAAATGCCCTCACTTCCATTCATCATTATACAAGAACTTCCATGAAAGTCAAACAATATTACACGCCCTTTTCATCTGGCCTTCTGCTTCATTTCCAGGTTGGACGTCTTTAATCCTGCTGCGATAAGGATTTTAATTAAAAGAGTAACCCCTATGCTCCTAGCGCCCAAGCCATTACATGCACATAAGCTAATTTGCAAAGGCTAAAAGTATGTGTAATTATTTGATGGTGCATGGGCTAGAAGCAGCTAGGGGACGATTAATTCTGCATGAGAGATTGTTAATA